GGCTGGGGTGCCTGGCCAGGCTTGGTGAGGGGCTGAGGGCTGTTTTCAGGCTGGCGGGTGACGGAAGCTCCCAACTGCTTCTTTTTTTCTTTTTTCTTTTTATTCTGGGCCAGCTTTAGCCTGGCTCCAGCTCTGAGGCCTCCGCTGCTGAAAGAAGGTATCTGGTTTGTTTCGGTTCTATAATCGAAACTCTGTATCAACTCCAGATCTGAGATCCAGGCTCGCTGAAAGCAGGTTTCTGGGGTATTGTTTAACTTATATGTTTGTAACTATGTTTCAAATTGCAGGCTCAGAGGCTGGCAAGGCAGGCGGGGAATGTTGCAGTCCTCCGTCACTGAAGCAAGCAAGCCTCATGTTCAGTTTAAGCTGCCTGGCTGCCGGCCGCCTTGGCTGGCAGTTAATTTGCATATCGCCCTGATTAGCCAATGGGAAGGGTAGCGGTCGTACGCCAATTACCATGTTTCTCTTATATTAGATAGGATGTTACATGTTCTTTACACAATAAAACAAAAACACAATTAGTTCATCAGACTGTTCGCTGATATTAGTGCCATTGTTTTGGTGAGGAGGCAAAAAAAGACAGGAAAGGCATTGTCTGCCGGAACCTGGTCAGTGAGTGTGGACCCCTCCCCTGCGGCCTCCTGCCAGTGGGCATAGCGAACACCAGGGAACGGGGGGCTTGTGTGGGCTTCCGGGGACCCTGGGAGCCCATTGGCCCCGCCTGAGGCGTGACCCTTCTCTCCTACCCCAGCCGCCATGGTGTGGACAGTGGGCATGGCCAAGCCGGACCCCTCCTCTCAAGGGGCCCTTCAGCTCCCCTACGACCCAGAGATGGGTGAGTGCCGGGGGCTGGTAGCCTGGGGTTCTGGGGGCGGCCCCTCACTGCTCCCCGCTCAGCCTGGCCTGGCCTCCCCGGGAGACACAAGGTTGGGGGCAGAAGGGAAGACCAGCCCTACTGGCATCTTGGGGACCAAGCGAGGGTGGCCTTCGGTCCTCTTCCTCCGACTCTTCCTCTTACATGGCCTGGCGGGTCTTTCCTTGGCGCCGGGCCAGGGGGTGGGCCTGGGGGGTCTTTCCTTGGCGCCGGGCCAGGGGGCGGCCAGGGACCCTGAGCTCCAGAGAAGCCTCTGACCAGCTTCTGTCTCTCCCTTCCTCTCCCACCCCACGGGGATGCCGGCATCTCCTACTGGACCCAGAAGAAGACTCCTGCGACAGTTTGGGGGAGCCCTCGTATCCGGAAGTCCTTGAGCACCCCCTGCCTGGCTCCCCAGGGGAGGAGCTGGAGGAAGAGGAGGAAAGTAAGGTGCCCGTGTCCGGAGGGTCCGTGGGCCCTGGGTGGGGGAGACGGGGAGCCCTGATGTCCAGGGCGGAGGCGTGAGGGAGACAGACGGCCTTGCAGGCGTCCAGGAGGAACCCGTGGGGGGAGGTCCTGTCGGCAGCTGTGGCCTCTCACATGCAGGCTGAAGCCTGTATTGGACCACGGTCACCGAGCCCCAGCCGTGTGCCGGCCTGCACTGTGCAGGCCCCGGCTCTGAGACTCACTTCTCACCGCATGGGCCCTGATCACAGACACTGAGTCGGGGGATGGGGGGCTGTGCAGGAGAACACGGCATGGGGGCACCGGGGGTTCTGGACCAGGTGTCAGAGGGAGACCTGAGCTCCCAGGTTCAGCCACATCAGGACAGACATTGCCTTGACCAGGAGGAGGGCCACCTGGTTGGAGTCTGGAGGGATGGAAGGCATGGTGTAGGGGAGGGCATGAGAGGGCGTGGGGGAAGGGGGCGAGCAGTTCCCTTGATACAGGCCGACTCAGGTTTGTTGTAGGAACACTAGAGGCCCAGTGCACTAGGGTAGGGTCCCTAGCAGCTGTCAGCCGGGGCCTCCCTACCGCAGTTGCCGGCTGCTGGCCAGGGCCTTCCTTCATTCCGCGCCGCCCCCTGGTGGTCAGTGCACGTCATAGCGAGCAAGCGATCGAACTCCCAGTTGTCGAACTCGAACTCCCGAGGGGACACTTTGCATATTGGGCTTTTATATATATAGATATAGATGCTCACTGTCTGCGGTGAAGAAAGTTGCCCTATGCAGTGTCCAGGGGCAGTTGTATGAAAGAGACAACACGAAAGCATCCCAGAGCCTCTCAATCGCTGTTCAGTAAGGGACAGGCTGCTTGCAAGTACGTGCCCTATTTCTAAGGGGAAAGGTCTGCAGAGGACCGCTGGGTGTGGTGCATGTTCTCACAAGCAGCGAAGTTAAATCCCTAAAGGGCACTTGTGATTCAAACCCAGCACTGAGTTGCATGGCCTCCCACCAACGCTGGACAATGCATTTTATTTGACTTTTTTCTAAGTGAGTGCCAAGCACCAGGATTTTTTGGTTTTTAAGCACCAGTTTTGCCCGAGTTCTCAGACATGCCAGCTTTTCACAGCCCAGATTGCAGGTCGCCCAGCCCCTGGGCTCCCCCTTGTCCCGCTGGCTACGGTTTTCCGAGGCAGCCGGTCCTTGCCCCAGAGGCTAGGTGAGCGGGGCCAGTGGCGAAGCGACCCTGCCGGGCCCCTGGTGTCAGGCTGCTGCCTCCCCCTGGGATGACGGACTCTGTCTCGCCCACACAGGGGGCGTGAAGCTGGGCCTCGGGGACTTCATCTTCTACAGCGTGCTGGTGGGCAAGGCGGCGGCCACGGGCAGCGGGGACTGGAACACCACGCTGGCCTGCTTCGTGGCCATCCTCATCGTGAGTGGGCAGTGGGCCCGAGGTCTTCCTGGGGCCCCAGGGCATGTTCAGGTGCTGTGGTCCCTGGAGGGAGAAGTGATGGGGGCCGGGCAGGGTTTCCAAGATCCTCAGCGTGAGATCGAGGTGCGCAGGCTCTGGGCGCCCACAGACGCAGGGAGGTCAGGGAGGGGTCCGGGGCTCTGATGTGACCGAGCAGGCACGCAGGGTGGCCAGGTTCATGGGCTCTGGGCGCCCACAGACGCAGGGAGGTGCAGGGAGGCGTCCAGGGCTCTGATGCGACGCCAGGTGACCAGGTGCACGGGCAGCTGTGCGCTGGGGTCACGGCACCTGAAGTCATAGCAGAGGGAACAGGTTGAGGGCCTTGCCTGGGCGCACACACCCGTGAGCTCGGGTCTCCGACTCCAGGGCTGGCACGTTCCCTCTGCCACCCACACACCATGCCATTCTGAACCCAGGGTCTCCCAGGGTTCAGGAGGGGACCCCATCACTTTGAGCCCCAGCAGTGGAATTGGGAGGCTCCTGTAGTCACTTGAGGTGGCCGGACGGACGTCTGGGGGAAACGAACTATGATGACTGATCTCGGGGCAGCGGCTGTGAGGGGCGAACCCCCGTACTGTGTGGCACGTTCAGGCTCCGGTCCATCTGGGAGGGTGCTGGGCCCCAGGCTCCGCCCCCTCTGCACTGGGGGACCTGAAGCCCTGCCCCTCCCAGGGCACAGCAGGCACCTGGCCCTGCCCCCACCCTGACCGTTCCTGCATCTGCCAGGCGGGTACAGGCGGGCAGGACCGAGGGAGGAGGCACACTCCATCTTTGATTCCCGTGGTGCCAGCTTTCAGTGGAGCCCATCCAATTCTAGAAACGTGTGTCCCGAGGGGCGGCCGATGCCCTCAGGTCGCGTGTCCCTGCTGTGGGCAGGCAGCTGGCAGGTTTGGCGGACGTGCAGAGTCAGGAGCCCCTTCAGGCTCACCCACTGACGTGCAGGGAGTTATGGGGGGGACCGTCCTCGGCCCTCAACTGTCGGGAGGCCCCGGGAGGCTGTGGGTGCCCTTGACAAGCCCTGCACCCAGGCCGGGCCGTCTGACTGCCCCCCCCCCCCCC